CGAACTCCGCAGCAAAATCGTTCCCGTTGTAGTCAATCAGAGCTGTTCCACTACTGCGGCCGTGCGGCGCAGCGCCCTGCCCGCCGTTCCGCCATCCGGCAAAAATAAGATCGATTCTATTTTTGCCGTACACCAGAGCACCTCTGCAGTCAATGGACAGAAATCACAACCGCCCAACAGGAAAGGGAGCAAGCACAACTTCCATTATTTTACAATAAATCAATAACAAAAGGCGTTTTTTGTTTCAGAAGCACAGGTTTAACAACTTTTAACAACTATCAATGGCGGCTGAACTTTAAATGCACAAAAATAAGCCACAAATACAGTTTCCACTATCAAAGTAGTCGCCCTTTGTTGATCCAAACACTGCTGATCTCTCTACACAAATGATGGGCAGATTAAACAGTTCATTTCGATGCTTCTCCCACACAACGGGTGTTTGGATCTAACTTCCGCGTTTATTGCTCGGACTGTATCGCAAGATCTCGAAAATCCAGCGCATGCGCACCTCAGGTCTCTGCACCGGAGCGGAGCCGTTGTAGAGCGGGTACAAGTAAAAATTGAGTTTGGAAGCGAGCGGCTGCGGAAGGCGGAGCGGAGGTGGTGGAATTTTGGGGTAAAATTGTTAATGGGAGACCAGATTGTTTTGGCTTGCTTTTAGCACCCCCTAGTGTCCATTTGTAGAACCAAAAGCAATGCCTATCTCCTGGCTGTGCGTTCGTCTTTTTAACACCGTAATCTAACAGCTGGAACGTCTCCCAGCCATCATTAGTGTCTACAGGTGTGGTTCATCACTACAGTAAACAAATCAGCTATGTTCATGACCTGAAAAATGCTGGAAGCAGACGGCAGCACCAGGTATTTCAATTTCAATTTATTTTATTTTGTTCATTTAGAAAAGAAAAGAAAAAACAATACAATAAAACAGAATCTCAATATAGTAACCAAAAAGGTGTAGGCTGAAGCCTAGCTTTTTATGCCTACCATATTTACTCAATCACATTACTTCTCATGAAAAAATAACAAAGAAAGATAAAAGTAATTAAAATGCTAATCATCATTGAAATATAGTGAACAACAACAAACATAAGTCAGCAAGAGGAAAAATACACAGAACTAATACAGACAGAACTATACAAAACTACCAGTAATCTTAATAAATCAATGTATGATGATCAAAACAGAGATTTAAATACTATAACTTGTGCAAGGACATTACATTTTCATTCACATCTATCAGATACACTAGACCACATATGGTAATTATGGTAGTATGACATCATCTTCTTGACGTACATTTTTTAAAATGATGTAACAGTTTTACATGCCTGATTCCAGAGTCCAAGTTACTCCATAATTTGACTCCTACTGTTGTGCAACTCTGACTCCTAACATTTGTTCTTACTTTCTCTCTGACAAATTGTCCTTCTCCCCTTAGTTCACACTGAGTCTCTTTGACCTGGAATAGCTTCTGAATACAGTCCGGAAATATTTTATTTTGTACTTTATAGATTACTTGTGCTGTTTGTAGTTTGACCAGATCTGTAAATTTTAGTATATTTAGTTTTATAAACAGGGGGAGCGTTGGTGCACGGTAATCAGAGTTTGTAATTACTCTTATTGCCCTCTTCTGTAGTAAAACTATGGGTGCTATCTGAGATTTGTAAGTGTTTCCTCAGACTTCCAGACAATACATCATGTGAGGAAGTACTAATGATTGGTATAAAAGTAATAATGATTTCCCATTTAGAATGTGTTTCGATTTATGTCCCAACAGAGCAGACCGGCATCTCTGAAGTTGCAAATGTGGTCTTCTGGCCGCAGAGGGCGGTGGGGGTCTGAGTGACATTTTATTAACCCTGTAAAGGCACATGCTGACTCATGAATATGATTTAATAATATAAACAATTTGCCTAGTATCCCTTTAAAATCTAGTCTCCTTTCTCTCTGTGAAACTTCAGAGTTAGTCACAGTGTCGGATCTCAACTCAGAAGTACCAGAGAGGTGAATTTAATCGATTTTACTTTTTCCAATTTAAGCTCAAAACAGTCATGCTAAAAAATTTTCTACTCTTATTTTTCCACGCTGCCTACTTCCCTGCTTTCTGAAGGCTGAACTCGTGTTCTGTGTGTGTGTGTGTGTGTGTGTGTGTGTGTGGGGGGGGGGGGGGGGGGGGGGGGGGGTGTTAGTCAAAGACAGCCTATTATTGTCTGTTATGACCCCAACTGAGCCAAGGTGCCGCGCCAGCGCTCCGCCCACGCGCATCATGCCTTGTGCATAGGGTACCAAGTGGGCAGGGGTAAACAACCAATCAGGCCTATAAAATCTGCCAGCACCCATGTGGCCAGCCCCATATCTGCCGTTTTGTTTTTTAGCCCCACCCACTTCCTGTTAGGACCTCTGGGCTCCCGTCGCAGCTCTTCTCCGCTTTTGTAGCAGCGATGTCTGTCCACGTTTTTTATTCGAGTTGAAGTGACGTTTATTCATTTGGTGTCTAAATGAGTTTTACATGCTTGAATTTAACAAAACATTTCCTTTCTGTGGATCCAAGATCGATTCTGAGGTGATAAAAGTTCCTTCACCATTAACCATCTCAACTCTGAAGCCTGCAGTCTGAACCCAACCCGATGAAGAGCCGTGACTCTGATGTTGAACTAAACAGATATTAAATATTATTTCTATAATAAAGCAGCTTTGACAACTAAACAAAAAAAGGCATTTTAAAAGTAATTGCACAATAAAAGATGGACTTATTGGGCATTATTTAATTACTAATGAAACATTCACAAGTAATGAAAATGCTAACTGTAATTGTGTACTTTTTAAAACTTCTGCAGCACAAAACTAACAACTAGAATCTGTTTTAAACGTGGTAGTGGAGCGACAAACCGGAGCGATTCACACTGTGGGCGTTTGCCTAGACCGGATCCACTCCCCGTAATCTAAACACCTCGAAGGCAGCACGGTTTCTGAACCACTCTGTACACAAACGAGCTGATACCAACTCTCACACTGAAGGATAAATCACGCTCGTCTGGTTGAACTAAAGACTTTTTAAGCAGCCACCAGGAACACACTCAGATCTGTGAGAGCTTGAGAATGAACCATAAAGCAAATTCAGAATTAACTTCAGACCAATCCAGCGGCGCCGCGGGGTCAGTCCACCTCTAGGTGCCTGCCAGGCGTGCCGTACTGCTGCCTCCCGCTGCTCCAGATTCATTTATCAAACACACACTTGATAATTTACAAAGGCAGCATAAAATTGTGGATTTTCAGGCTGCGTAATCTTTAGACAGATAAACAAATTACCCGGGGGCCCTCCGGCGGGGAGGGAAGCACTCGCTTGACTAAACATTCATTACCGGCGTTCCCGGAGCTGGTGCCGTGCCGCATAGCTAGCGAGCAACCTCTGGCGTGTTAGGGCTCGGCAAGCAGAAAATAACATGATGGTGAGTTAACCGACCGTGCCATGATAGATGACGCCACACGCCAGGCTGTTTACGGGCCCATGTCTCAACAATCTGTAATGCTCAGAGCTGGGAGCGTGTGCACGGTGAATCATCAGCCAATCTGCAAACCCACTAACTGCTCCACTCCGGCCCTGCATTACCAGCAATTAGACGGCACTCCAGGGGAGAAGAGCAAACAGGAGTGTGTGTGTGTGGTGGTGGGGGTGGGGGGGGGGTGGGGGGGTAGAGAGAAAGAGAGAGAGTGGGGGATAAGGAGAGAGAGAAACAAATAGATAAAGAGAGAGAAGGAGAGAAAAAAAGAGAGAGGGAGGGAGATAGGGAGAGGGGGGGGTAGAGAGAGAGAGAGAGAGGGATAGAGAGAGAGAGAGAGAGAGAGAGGAGGGAGAGAGAGGGGGGGGGAAAGAGGGAGAGAGAGGTAGAGAGGAGGATAATGAGAGAGACAGAGAGAGAGAAATAGACAGATAGAGAGAGATAAAGAGAGAGAAGGAGAGAGAGAGGAGAGATAAAGAGAGAGTGAGGGAGGTTTGGGAGAAAGAGAGGGGGGTAGTGAGAGAGAGAGAGAGAGAGAGGGAGATAAAGAGAGAGAGGAGAGAGAGAGTGGGGAGAGAGAGAGAGGGAGAGAGGGGGGTAATGAGAGAGACAGAGAGAGAGATAAAGAGAGAGAGGAGAGAGAGAGTGGGGAGAGACAGAGAGAGACAAATAGGAGACAAATAGATAGAGAGAGAGAGATAAAGAGAGAGAAGGAGAGATAAAGAGAGAGAGAGGGAGAGAGAGGAGAGATAAAGAGAGAGATGGAGGGAGATAGGGAGAGAGAGAGAGAGGGGGTAGAGAGAGGGGGTAAAGAGAGAGAGAGCGACAAATAGACAAATAGACAGAGAGAGAGATAAAGAGAGAGAGAGGGAGAGAGAGGAGAGATAAAGAGAGAGATGGAGGGAGATAGGGAGAGAGAGAGGGGGGGGGGTAGAGAGAGGGGGTAAAGAGAGAGAGCGACAAATAGACAGAGAGAGAGATAAAGAGAGAGGGAGAGAGAGATAAAGAGAGATGGAGGGAGATAGGGAGAGAGAGAGAGGGGGGGGGTAGAGAGAGGGGGTAAAGAGAGCGACAAATAGACAGAGAGAGAGATAAAGAGAGAGAGAGGGAGAGAGAGGAGAGATAAAGAGAGAGATGGAGGGAGATAGGGAGAGAGAGAGAGGGGGGGGTAGAGAGAGGGGGTAAAGAGAGAGAGCGACAAATAGACAGAGAGAGAGATAAAGAGAGAGAGAGGGAGAGAGAGGAGAGATAAAGAGAGAGATGGAGGGAGATAGGGAGAGAGAGAGAGGGGGGGGTAGAGAGAGGGGGTAAAGAGAGAGAGCGACAAATAGACAGAGAGAGAGATAAAGAGAGAGAGAGGGAGAGAGAGGAGAGATAAAGAGAGAGATGGAGGGAGATAGGGAGAGAGAGAGACAGAAGGTGGTTTTCCAGGAGTTATTCAGCCCATGTCAGCTCCATGATAGAAAGTGGAGGTGTGTGTGTGTGTGTGTGTGTGTGTGTGTGTGTGTGTGTGTGTGTGTGTGTGTGTGATTTTTAGAATAGCACGAAGGGATCAGTAAACAGTGTAAGGTAACCTGTATGCACCACAGAAACACAACTCAGCTGAAAAATGTTGGTGTTGCTGCACATTCTGCAGCTAACTGGGTCCAGCGGAGCTGAGTAGCACAGAGGAAAAGGGTCGTCAGACGTGTCATTTCAAACATCTCAATCCTTCGTAGGAGCAGAGACCACATCTAGCCATTTGAGACTGTTGAAGTTTTCACTTGCAGCCAAAACCTGAAATGCTTAAACAAATGAAACTGCTGACAGGCAGACCTGTGACACTTGGGTTGGTCAGATGAAAGCTCGGGAAGTTATCCGACTCCTTATCCAGGACAATGGCAAGTTAACGTCCTGAGCGCCTCCACAAAGTTCACACACTAAATGTTCTAACTGGATAGAAGACGCTTTAAAGGATGTCGTGTTGCTGTGGAGCAGATCTGTGAGGCTGAACAGATTGGCTGGTGTTTGTAATGCTGGGGAGGATCTGAAGCCAAACAGCAGAGCCAGCATGGTTCAGCTCTCTGAGGAAGACGAGGCTTTATGAAGAAGGGAACTCTACAAGGACTGGAATCTATCTACTGTCTGCGTGAAACCTGGGATTAGTGCTTCAAATTAACATTCACAAATATGTCCTCCTTCCATCTGTGAAGCTTTCCAGACAGCCAATGGAGCGAGGGGGCGGGGTTTAACATGAGACTCACCTTTAGGAAGAGGTCTCTGGCCGACTGAGACATGAGGATTCGGTCACACCAGGCTGGACAGCGGGTGTTCATGTACTCCTTTCCCAGGTTGCAGTCTTCGCTGTACGGATAGCTGCAGGAACAGGAAACAGCAGGATGGTTACAGGAGACCAGAAACCTTTAGATATTAAAAGGATGCTAACATTTGTAACTGCCGAGACATAAATTAAGTTTTGTCAATTTTTGATGTTTTAAATTCACAAAATAAAAACTCTTTTTGTGCCGTGGCTAAAACCTAACCTAACCACTCCTGCCGCTCACCTACAGTCTACACCAAGGGACCTTTATGGTTCAATTTTTTGAAGCCAAGGAGGCGGGGCTAAAGTTGCAGTTCCACTCTCATCCACTAGGGGCTGGCAGCAGAAGTGAGCAAACCCTCACTGACTCCCTCGTTAAAAAAGCCATAAACAAACAGCCTGGTTCAAAGTCATATTTTAGGTTTGCTAGATCTAGTTTACAATCAGGACATCTCTGACGGGGTGGATTGTTTTGTAAATCTTCTGTTTAAGTGGAATTAAATGTTTAAAAATCTGAATAATTAATGAGCATCAGAGCCTCGTGACTTCAGAGCTAGCTCCGGGGAAAGGCCTCAGCCTCATGTTAACACGTGTTCGGCCATTTCAACTCTAAACTTTAGCTGTGTCTGTTTGTTTGGATGCTAATCGTGGGATTGGTTGGACACAGCGGGAAAGCTGTGGTTATTGACAGCACTAACAGACCATTCAAGCAGTTTCTGCTTCTTTTTATCAGTAAATAAAATTATATTTCTGTACTTTTTTCCACTGATTGAATGGGAGGGTGGGGTGTGGGGGGTGCTGTGTCATTTATCTGGTTGGTCAGACATGTTAGTGGGGCTGCTGCTGCATGAGAAACTTGAGCGGACGCCCGTCTTCTGTCTCCTGTACGAGACGAGTTGCTAGAGCAGGCGGCTGGCTGTTCCCGTTTCCCAGGACAGCCGACACGTGGACCAGCTCCAATGCCAGGTTGTAGTCATGCTGGAGGCATTTGGAATCGTTGAATGTCCAAGGAAGATCCCGTCTTTCACGGCCCAGAAGGGCACTATTACCCTTCGCTATTTCATTTAGCAGCTAACCATCTTCCCATGCTAAGTGCAGACTGTTCTCCTGCCATCGCCACCAACAGAAAGCTGTTTGGGGTTTAGTAAAGAAAATGTGAACGTAGCGCTATAATCAGAGGTGAGAAAGACTGGACCTTCCTTGGATATACTACGATTACAAATGACGCAACTGGGAGTGTTGGCCTTTCTGATCAGCTCCTTCTCAGCGGTTGGAGATCAGCGGGACACTAGCTACATGCTAACCCGAAGCTAACTGTTTTTCTGGGTGTTTTTAGCAAGAAAACCGCTGTTTACTGCGTTAGCATGTAGCTAATGTCCTGCTGATCTCCACCCATGGAGAACGAGCTGATCTGGAAGTCCAGGGCTTCCGGTCCCAGCGGTCTGGCCATGCTTGCTAACAGTCTCAGTCCATATTAGATCTCCACAGGCGACCAGCATGACTACAGCCTCGCAGGGGAGCTAGTCGGTCGTGCGAGTGGGCTACCCTGCAGTTCCCGGAGCCCTTCTTAGCGTCTTGGGTTAGCTAAGTTAGCTAGTAGCTACATTGGTTTCACAGCGTTTCTAGAAACAAGGAGATGTTTATTAAGCCACTGGTGGAAGTGGTCACATGGTGAGCGTGGTGGGTTTACAGAAGTTCCTGTAAGGGTTACTGATGATAACCAATAAATGATTATCAGGAGGAACAACAAAGACGAGATGTCTCCCTAGGAAAACAGGAGGTTCACTAACGTGGCCAACCATCTGAGTAAACAACAGGATGTCTCAGTCAAAGCCATCTTTCTCTGCCAAATGTCCAGGTTAAATGTGTGTACGAGCAGGCGAGAGGGGCTAAATAAAACAGGGAAGCGTGTGTGATTTAGACAGAATGGGCCAGAGGGAGATTCAGTAGCCCATATGTACAGCTACACTCCAACACAGTCATCAAAAACAGATTAGGTGCTGCAGCAAATGGCCGTGAGAGATTGTATCTTGGAACATCAGGGAACAATCACATGATTTAAGCAGCGGCGTGGCTGGAGTTGCCATCGAGCTGATACAGATTTACATTGTGGAGAATTCAATTTTCTGCTTCGGCTCATCAAACTGCTTTGGATTTACACGCCACCAATCCAATTTGTTTGTCTGCACTCATCAAAACATAACAGCCAGCTAACATACTGTAATACCAATCCAATTTACACCGCGCCACATGTGCTAGTTGTAGCATAACACAAAGTGCCTCTTCTTACAGGAGGATGGGACCCTAATGGTAAAATAAACACAGCTGCTGGGCGTTGGATTCATCATGCTTGCAAGGATCTGACAGCTTTAACTGAACTTTGGTGCAGAAGCAGATTACAGATGTGATTATTTTTATTTACTTCTTTCAAATTCAAATTCAAAAATACTTTATTAATCCCAGAGGGAAATTGATTGCTGTAGTAGCTCATAATAATAATAATAATCAAGTCATCAAAGAGTTATTGTTATTTCTGGATTTGTGCAACAAAAATGTAGCCTGGCAAGCCAGACTAAATAAATGTATTATCTAGTCTGGCCATGCTCCATTGACGGCTCTCGGTTGTGGGGCGGGATCTACCGTTGTCTTTCAAATGATCTCCGCATTCCACTGGACAATGAATGTGACATACTCTTGTTTCACTCTGTTGCATCATCCCACCAACCAGGCATATAGAGTGCCCTGATTGGCCCACAAAGCAGATAAAGCTCTGTGATTTGTTCACTAAGCAGATAGAGCACTATGATTGGCCCACCATTATGGACCATTCACAGCTCTTTATGTGTTTGAAACCACTCTAGAGAGCTGTGATTGGCTAGCCAGAGTCCTGGTAGGAGCTGCGGAGGTTCCAATGGACCATTCTTTGCAAAGCAAGAATTTGGTCTAGTTCACTAGGCTAACAAAAATGGGCTCTGTTGATTCAAATAAGGTAAGACTGAGTACATGCTTTTAACTTGATGCAATAAGCTTTGTTTGTTTTTATGATGAATTTGCATTTATTGGTGAATATTAAGCTCGTTTTTGGAACTATTTGCTGTTACCGTCTGTCGGTGTGACGCATGAGAACGGTGATGTGGTGCTCCCTGGTGGTGATATGTGAATAGTGCACCTGTAATCGGCCCAGTCGTCCCAACCGCAAATATCAGACTTAGTTATTAGAATTATGAGCAACGAGGCTCTCCCTCCGGTTCGCCACTTGCTGCTGTTTTGGTAAGGTAAACTCTGTGTTTGTGTGTGTGTGTGCGCACGTGTGTGTGTTTGCCTTTATCCATTGCAGATAGATATGGCCTGTATATAAGGAGGAATGTGATTATTTATACAGTGTAAGCCATCATTTTTTTTCGCAGCTCGTTTTGCAACACATGCTATGGCAGATGGGGGAGAAGCAGACAGGAGGGATTGGTTAGCAGACCTGCCAAAGAGAAGAGGGTCCATGTGTCTCAGAAGTTTTTGTCCAAATACCAATAACAGTGGCCATGCTTGCGACCCTCTAAACAACCTCAGCATGCATTTTGCACAATCTGCAATTATGATGTGGACATAAGCCACCAGGGAGCTGCAGATAATTAGTAAATTAGCCCTGGTGATGTGTGCATATGTGCTTTAAGCCAGTTTAATATCGCGCGCGCGCGTGTGTGTGTGTGTGTGTGTGTGTGTGTGTGTGTGTGTGTGTGTGTGTGTAAAATTTTCCATCCAGTGAATGGGGAGATTACAGTGTGAAAAGCAATGGAGTTGCAAAAGTCCACGAAAAAACGCCACACAAGTGGTACTCAAAAATTTTGACAAGGTTGGCAGGTCTGTACACCCCACCCCAAAAAATTAATTCACCAGCTGCCACTGATTATTTGGCATCAAAAAGCTGCAGAAACAAATGTGACAGATGGAAGGAAAAGTAAAGAAGGGACCTAAACACAACTTTTCTGCATTCATCAACCTGTTCAACCAATGTGACCTATAGAATGCTTCAGCCTCGCAACACACACACACACACACACACACTCACGCACACACACACACACACACACGCACACACACTCACGCACACACACGCACACACACACACAACCAGGTGTACAAACACAACAGCAGAGGTCTTCTTAAAGCAGTTCCCTGACTCCAGTTAGCATTACTAACACTCAAACTGAGGGTGAAGGTTTTGCTATGCTAATCAAAACGCTAAAGAAGTGATCCGAGGATAAAAGAGGGCCTAAAGAATAGGATGAGTGAAACAGAGAGGGGATAAAGATGGATCAGACAGAAGGAGCTTGACTTGAGGGTGGCCTGAAAGCTCCTGGTTCCTGAGGGCTGAGAACAAAGCCTGTGGTCGGAGAAAATGACCTCGATAAACGATAAACTCCAATTGGCAACGATACAACTCTCAGCTGTTCTAAAGACTACCTCATGAACCGTAGAGCCTGCTGCAAACTGGAAGCATCAGCGGTGTGGAACGCTGCTGCTTCATTTGAGTTAAACGGGGTGATTCAAACCAGCCGCGCAGCTAAAGTTAGGATCGGCTTCTGTTTCTGCCACGAGCCGCTTCTGGGTGCGGTTAACATAGGGCTAGACAGGAAGTCACACACCGTTTCAGTGTAAAATCCCTGGTAGTTTTCAAAATAAAAGTCTATTGCAGCAATGCGATTTCATATCTATGTAGATGACATCAATACAAGTGACCTAACTGCTTATTTACTCCCAGCATCGTTCCTGAAGTGCAGCGGTGTGCTTTCATGGCTTTAGTCCTGGCGGTGGAGAGGAACAGCGTCATTTATGACATCAAACAGCAGTTTTAAACCTCATTTCCTTCCTTCTGGTTTACTGGCGGACAACATAAACTTGAAGGATTTTGTGATCTTGTGAGTGGAGGAGAAGCCGCTTCGTGGATGAGAATCTGCTGCTGTGCACTGGAGGTCTGTGACTGTTGCGAGTAAACATTCCCACTTCTGCTCTGCTGCGCTGGTGCTTCCAGTGAGCAGCAGGGTCAGAGTCTTGTGTTGTT